ACGTAATATGTATGAGTGTTGATGGGCACAGCATATAGGAGTTTGCCATAGCAACCAAAATTCTAAACGACAACTTAGTTGGAAAAGAAGTGATAGGAAGTTTCAGAGGATAAGAAAGTATAATAGTAATACTATGAGAAACCAATAAGGGCAGCCATTCAATGATAAGTAGTGGGCTAAACGAGAAATAACTTCAACTAAGAACAAAATTTTGATTCAAAGCAAAAAACCCAAAAACCCGAAACATTCGTAAACCAATGCACTTAAAATTTTTTTTTAAAAATGTAAGTCGAAGTAAAACACTAAGCAAGATCACTGGAAAACATATCTCGTTCGCAAAAGAAAAAAAAAACAAATTACAAACTTCGCGAAGTCCCCTTACCTTTTAATGAAAATTTTAATTATTCATACCCAAAGAAATAATTTTCTTTGAACTTTAAAATTAGAACTTCTCATAAACTTATGAAAAGATTTTTCGGTTACAAATACTAAGAAATGCAACGGGCGAATGGCTTACATTTTCCCGTCAGAAGGCGTCGTAAGGGTTTGATAAAGCGATTCTAGGGAGGATAGATATAGGCAGGAATCATCCTTATCGTTAACTCCAAATATATCGCAAATTAATTCTAACATAGGTTCTTAAGCCATTTTTCCTTTCCAACATTATTCTGGAAGCCAATACTGCGTTCGCTAAATATCTTTCGTGCTGAAATTCAATCTTTAAAAGGAATAACTCTGGTGAAGATTGAAAGGTAAAATGAATCTATTTTATAGGTAGCTTTGACCTAGGGGTATAAAGCCTAGGTTTTCCGCTTTCTAAATAAAAGCAAGCATAATCAAGAAATAAAGAAGTAATGCAATGCCGTACTCGGAACGTTTCATAAAATTGAAAACGAAATCAGAAATTTATGGTAAAGTTTTAATTAGTCAAGAAAGCAACCTATTTTCGAAAAAAAAGGAAAGGAAAACGTAATTAAGAAATAATAAGTCTAAAGATAATCTGAAAATTAAATATTTCAATATTCACAAGTAAAATAAAATATAAAGGCATTTATGCCAATATATCAATTAGCGATGCGAAAGTAAGATAGGTTAATAAACGAATAATAAGCGAAGTTTGAAGATACTTCGAAAACTCAGATATGTCAATGAATGAATACTCGCAAGTAAAATAGATATAAAGGCATTCATAGAAATATAAGCTACTAATCCCCCATAGAAATTTGTACAGGCCAAACAACAATATAAAAAAAAGGAAAAAACAAACAAAATACAAGAAAAAATAATAAAATAAATAAAGGGAAAAAAAGGAAAACCAACAAAAAAAAAGAAACAAGAAAACATTTAAAAAAAAACAGAAAAGAGAATATCAGAGCGCCCAGGGCAGTTCTCATCCTTGTTTAATTATTTGTGCTACTAACTTTAATTAAGCTCTTAATACACCCCATCTGGCAGCTGCCCCATCGCCATCATGACTTCCAGGTTGGCCCAATACTATTTCGGTTATCGCGATCGCGCTCCCCAGCATCTCACCGAATAGCCAAATGGCACCGGGATTCTACCACAATATCTCGGCACCAGCCAACAACACCAGCGAGATCATCCAGCTCGCCGCCCCGATTGACGGAGCACAACGAGTCTTCCCAACAGCGGCCGACATGAGATCCGCCATCGAAGTAGTCAGCAGATGGGGGCTCAACTTTACCGGCCGTAGAGAGCCGCTTGCCTTCATCGAGCAGGTCGAGGAGCTTGCAGAGGCATACGGCGTCGACAAAGATCGCTTGCCAGCCACCATGGTGGTGATGCTGCGTAACCTAGCCTTAACGTGGTACCGCAGCAACAACCAACATTGGACATCCTGGGAGAAGTTCAAAGCCGACTTTCTAAAATTTTTCTTGCCACCGCGATACTTCACCCGGCTCAAGGATAGCATTTGCCGGCGCACCCAGCGACCGAGAGAGAAATTTCAGAACTATGTGCTGGCATTACAGGACTTGATGAGCCATACCACAATGACAGAACACCAAAAATTGGAACGCATCTATACGAATGCGCAACCCGATCACATGTGGTATATACGGCATCGAGACTTCACCAATGTAGACGAACTCATGGAACTCGCCAGCGATTTTGAGGCAATTCCAACGAGCAACATGTCACGTGAAGTCCCCCGTGAAACACAGCGAGAGTTTCAGCCAGTCGCCCGACGACGTGATCTGCCAAAAAAACCAACGATGTGCCCGAAGCGGACACCACCAGCTTAATTGTTCGAACCCACAGGTCTTGCACTGCTGCATCTGCAGGCGGCGAGGCATACGAACCATCAACTGCTGCCAACAGCAAGACGTACCTGCCTCCCCGAGCTTAACGAAGACACCATGCCTACAACGCGAAACACCGCAAGATAGATCCATGGTTAAACCCAGGCCAATTACCACCCCGTCAAGTCAACGGAATCATTTTACAACAATCCACCGAAAAGAGACTAACGATTTACCAACGCAAGGCTCTTCTTTTGCGCTAAAAGTTAATAGCGGCGATCCACCTCGCAGCAGGAAAATTTTAGAAACACCACTACACAGCGATCCGAAACAAAGTCCTCAAACCCATGGAAATCTACGCCTTCCATGCAATGAAGCCCGCAAGGATACAAATGCAGCATCTGGGCCTACAAACAATTGTCCTCAGGGAAGCCAACGGCGCCATGCCTTTTACTGCAACCCACATCTGGTACAGTCAGGGTCCACAGTGGCCTACGAGAGCAGCCACTGCGAACAAGTCAACCTGATAACGTCGGGGTCCACGCACGAGTTAACGAGATCCGTCACGCATGCCCAAAAGACAAACAAGTAGATTTCGAAGAGGCAACGCCTATTACAAGGCTGCACAAACTACCAGGGCCAGATTAACACTTTGCAAGCCCTGTAGTGGCCAATGTTGACACACGACCCATACCTACTGGCCAACGCTCCGACATTTCGATGTCGGAAAGTCACAGGTACCCGAGTGCTGATACAACTCTCCCCCAACAAAAGGCGAATGCCACTCCTGATGCCACGGCACCCATCTTGGAATAACAATCAAGTTTGCCTCAGCAGTCAGCGTAACAACATCACGGGAGACACCACAACAGCAGCAGCATCAACAATACCAACAGAGTTCGCTACCCCAAAATATAACAATCATAACAATAGCATCGCAACAACTAGAATGAATTCAACAACAATAACAACGACAACAACGACGATAACCACCAGCCCAACTAATCGGGTGACGCCCACGCAGCAAAGGCGATATGCACAACAAAATGGAAACAAAAACAGCTGCTCATCGGTTGGAGCGGGCCATCTGACGTCAGGTATGTCTCCAGCAATAACGGTCACACAAAATGAAGCAGAAGCCAAACAAATTTTTTCACATTCACATACCGAGCGGTATGAAGGAATTGCAACAGCAATCTGCCTTACTTAATCAACCATCGCTGCAAGCAAGCGTTATAAGGCATGCGTTGCCTGTGCCACAATTGCCATAATTGGCTAATGGTCTGAAAGTTTTCGAATACTATGTTAATAACGTATGGGATTTTGATCATACCGAAGCGCTACGAATGAGAAAACTCATGAATGAACGAGAGCGCCGTACGTACATAATAGAGAAAGTCGATCTAGACTTGGTGGACTATTTTACCAATAGTCGATACAATCGATTGACAATATAATCCCTAAGGTCCGTCGTCATATGAAAGTGTAAATCATTTAACATTTTATTTTCTATAAACAAATATATTAAAAACGTGTTTTTCTCCAAATTTTAGGATGTGGTGCGTGGATCGGTTTTTCAAAGCGTTATTTTTCTTTGGATTATCATATTATTCATATAATTATTTCTTTGATAGATTAAGTACGGTGATTCGAAAGCCGGTTAACTTACGAATTCTTGCGCAGATTTCATTAAAAGTAAGCTGAAGAAATATACAATACTTTACAGTAATCTCTCCTATTTATCTTTCAAACAGCTATAGTTGTTAGAATAATTTCTAACATTAATGTTTTAAAGCACTAGTATCTAAACCATCTATCAGCTTTATTGAAAACTCTACCGCACTTGAGATTTGAACCCACGAGTCAAGTCCCTTTGCTTTTGCCGCCACTAAGACGTATATGAAAAAACTTTCAAGAGGGGGGTTTTTGAAAAAATCAGTACTTTGCATTCTTTGCATGAAAATTTTGTAGAACCTAACAAATTAGAAATAACTCTTTAAATCTGGACATTATCATCATACTACACAGACACAATGACATTTTTCATTTTAGAGTTTCTGCTGAGGACCAAGTTTGACAAGCTGCTCAAATTATAATAATAATAATACAAATCTAGTTGCAATAGTGTCTGTCATTACTTACCTTTCCCAAGTTTCAAATTTTTTATATTTTGAGTGAGCTGTATTCATACAAAAAAATTCTCTTTAGATATTGCTTTTCTTTTCATTTATGGCTGTTTTCTATTATAAATGTAATTACACTAAAAACAACGTGAGCCATTTAGCTTTTGCCTTATTTGATAGATATGAGAGAACTTATTTCGGAATACTGTGCATACGTAAAGCAAAAACCACAAAGTAGAAAATGATACTTGCTTTTCGTCATACAACATTAATATCCTTTGCTACTTTTCAGGCGCATTTTACTTGCGATAATGTTAACCAGGATAAATGTGTGTTGATAGTGGCGGTTTTCATTTTTTCAGAATCGATTTGAAGTGAACCTTTAAAATATATGTGCACATACGAATGGTCTTCAACGTAAGTTAGTTTCGATTTACGATAAAATATAAGTAAACAAATTGAGACTTATTTACGTTACTGTCTTGTTGTTATGGCAACATTTGGTTGTATATCGACATACACAAATAATTATAATATAGTTGGATTTTATTTTCGGAGGTTGATATTTTGAAAATTTTTCTCTAGCAAAATTTCTCTCTCGGCGCTGTGCGAAAAAATGTTTAAAAATACATTTCAGTCGGGGTTTCTGTCGATTTTGTACAGCATTGGCAGTAAACCGCTTCAAATATGGGATAAAAAAGTTCGCAATGGTCATATAAAACGAATTACAGATAATGACATACAAAGGTAATAACTAGGAAAAATTATTAAATGTATTATACGCCCTATGATAATTCTTGTAAATAACAGACCTATTTCTCTTCCTAATATAACCATTTTTCCATCTCTTGAATTTTTAGTCTTGTGCTGGAAATAGTTGGGACCAATGTTTCCACAACATTTATAACATGCCCAGCTGATCCCAAGAAGACCTTAGGCATTAAATTACCGTTTCTTGTGATGATTATAAAAAACATGAAAAAATATTTCACATTTGAAGTACAGGTATATACACCAAAAAACTTCTTTAAATAATATTCTTAAGATAATTTTCTTACAGGTATTGGATGATAAGAATGTTCGTCGACGTTTTCGCGCTAGTAATTATCAGTCAACGACACGTGTGAAACCTTTCATATGTACTATGCCGATGCGATTAGATGAAGGATGGAATCAGATACAATTTAATTTATTGGATTTCACGCGGCGGGCTTACGGCACTAATTATGTGGAGACGCTCAGAGTACAGCTGCATGCGAATTGCCGTATTCGACGCGTTTATTTCTCGGATCGCCTCTATTCTGAAGATGAACTCCCTCCAGAATTTAAATTGTTTCTGCCCATTCAGAAACCTATGACGAAAAGTGCAAATCAAGCGATTTGCAATTAATTTAACCTCCTGCCTAGGCTAAATTTTGATTAAAGACTGCAAATTGTTTTTTTATAAGGATTTTAATAGTAAAGGTTATGTTTTTTTAACTAAAAAAATATACAACTATATTGACGCATTTAACATAACGTTTGAAGGGTAACACGGGGAACACTTGCACCGTCTTTCAGGCAGCGGTGCAAATTTCTTTTTTATTCTGTAATTTTTGTTGCATTTCAGTAAAGCTGCTTCGGCTTTTTCACTTGCGATTCCACGTAGAGCTTAAGTCTCTTAGCCGGTCTCTGATCGAATGAGAATTTGAATCGAATTAACCTTAGTTTCTTTATCAGGTTTGATGGCACGTAAGAAATTGTAATTGTAATTCCCGATTCTCTTAAAAAATTGACCAACGATTCACTTTACTTGGCATTGCAAACATTTTTTATTGCTTTTAGTGTTCTTCAATCCTTCCAGCAAATTTTCCAAATTTCCCATTTGTTCACATTTTTGTTCATATTTTTCTTTTAATATTTTGTGTTTTTCTTACAAATCATTACAAATATTATAGCGAAGCGCTTGTGTTATAATGTTTGCATTGATTTGGTGTAAGCCTTTTAAAATATCGCAATATTGCTTCACTAAATTGTCTAAATTTCCTTGCACTGTGGTGCTGATAATACATGGCGTGTAATTAAGTATTATCGCTTGAAGCAGCGCTGCTACAGTTGCAACACGATTATCTCCTATTATGTGGACGTGGTTGTTTTTAATTTCTTGAGATATAAATACGGGGGTCTCTTTCAACATTTTCTGAACATCTTTATCTAAGCTGTCCCATAACGAATATCTTCTTAAAATTTCTTTGGGTTTGGGATGCTTGGATATAGTTTTAGAAAAAGTCGGACCGCTGGCTATTAACTCTATCGAATCGCCGACTATGTCACTAATAATCATGGATACAATGGCATGGGCTCGCGAAGCAGCCAACGCCAACCGGCCACCTTTAATATCCGACAATGCTATACGTACAATGTTCAGTTCTTTTATGCTAGCCGCTCGATTTGATAGCTCTAGACATTTTCTTCTTCAAATCCACAGGGCGACGAGGCATTGGCAATAAAGCTGAACCACCGCCTGATATCAAAACAAACAAGATATCATCTTGACCTAAGGATTTAGCTAAATGTTTGATTTCCAAAGCGGCTTGTAAAGCCGTCTCATCCGGTTGGTTATGCTCGGCTCCTTCATATACACGAAAAGCTGTGTCTGACGACAAATCCGCTTGCCTTTGAGATTGTTCACGCGCTCCTTTATTTATATATTTTTGCGTTCACCTTTATATTTCTTGAATTTATTTGGAACAAATAAAGAATGACACACTGAAAATTTGCGCTTAACGAATTTACGCTTATTTTATAAAGTTCTACAAAACATGCATAAAAAATGAGAATACGCTTATTTTATAAAGTTCCCTAGTTTCTCGGCGGACTTGAAAACGCTATAAAAGTAGGAGAAATCAATGGATTCGTCGTTGCTTTCCTTCGAATGCCCAACTAACTTATCATCGCCCGACCGTGATAACATAGTAAAGCGCAAATTAAATTAGGATCTACCACCATGCCAGGAATCGAACCTGAGTCCTCCGGCTGCGGGCTGAGCGTCCTAACCAGATCGTACGCCAACCACCACGAAGAGTGGTGAACGTTGCAAGAAGATTTGTTAAAAACAACCACGCCTGCGATATTGTGTTCACCTTACATAATTTGAAAAGAATTTACAATGCGACCATGCTTTGAAGCCTTATATACATAAAAATGTTGAAATTCTTAAACAATCAAGCATTTATCGGCAAAAATTTTTAATAAAAAAGAACTCATAATAAAATTTAATAAAGCGATAGGGCTTTGAACACGTGCATCGACAAATACGTTGCAACCATTTATCGTCCAAAATGCTTAAGAACTCATAATAAACCTTCATTTCTTTAGATGATCTTCCCTATATCCATTCTATATTTCTTTATTTTTTCATTTATTATCAATAGAGTTTGTAAATGAATTTACAAAGCATTGATTTAAAGGCTGCCGGATAACATAGATCACACGCTCGCCTGCATTGAAAATTTTACCGGCCTTGAGATTTGTACCCGCGGCCATTGAGTTATTATCCGCGGTCCTTTGTCTACTCGACTCTCTTCCATATCCTTTCCTCATGAAAAGCATAAGAGTAGAGTACAACCTCTTTCTTTGGTAGCAAACTTGGCTTCAATTTAAGCGAAAAGTCTTCTAGGCTTCAGCCAAGCTATTGTCAAAGAAATTCAACCATCTTTATGTAACAAGAAAAACAGGAGAAAGAAAAAATATCTGGTCACACCTGTTCTTGAAAATGCTTCAATAGTTGGGTCCCCTAACTCTCAATGGTATATATTGACTCAGTTAAGCTTGCACGGAAGCAGCTGAATCTTAGTTGGGCATTCTTTGCCACCCTATGAATACAGGCTTAGATTAAAGGATTTACTCTCGGTAGACAAGTACAAGTTTTTGTTCTAAGCTCTCCATAAGAATTGCTCTCCCGGTTTCATTAAACGCAATTAACACTGCTTCGTCAATTTCATGATCAGGTGTATTGTTCCCGACATCAAGTAAACTTGATAGCTGGCGATGCTGGACTCACTGGACGAATAGAAAGTTTATAGCTATCGATAATACGTGCAATTTTTTTTTAATATCAAATAGAAAATCTTCCGATCGTGGAATTGGTGTTGACTAACAAATGCAAATCGAGTTTACTTGTATAGCGGGAATAATAAACCGGCCCCAGTTAATTAAACTTAAACCATAGTTATTTATTTATTCAATTCATTAAATTCCGCTACAGAAAAAGTCGTGAGCACTATGGCACAGAATTACTTATCTGTAGTAAAGAGAGAAAAAACTAACCAACTTATACAATCAAACCTGTTTTGTGCGTTTATGCGGTCGATATTTGTCGCATAAAAACAGGTTTAAGTGTAATACGCGCCAGAATTCAGTTAAGCACTAAGTTAAGATACAGGGATGTTTGCTGATGAATGAGAAGGCACTTTTTTATGTTAATAGCAACAAATCAAATACAAAAAAAAACTACATTTTTTTATGATCCAATTTACCTGTACTTGTACGAATTTTTGGCACTTAGTTATGTAATATAATGCTTTTACGGACAAAACAGAGGAGCCAAGTGATTGGTGATGATCGTTGAACATTTTACACAATACCCGAAACCGATTGAACAACTAATAGTTGGTTCGGCTTTGTGGTAGCTGTAAGAACACAAAATGTCTGAGCTGTGAATGTCAATATGTTTTAACAAAGCCGGCAAATAACGTTCTCCTTTCAGTATCTTGAAAAAAGATCGCACCCAACAGTTTATTCCATGCTTCAAGGGTAGACAAACCAACGGGGAAGGGCAGGATACCATCCTAGATCACCCAAACAAACGACAAGAAGTTTCGTTGGACAGACTCCTAGAGACCATTATGGCATCTATAACTGGGAAACTAAACTAACGACAAGTATTTAATACTTGTTCAAACTAAAGATGTATACAAGCATTTGGTAACGTACGGGTTATTGAATGCTATAGACCAACTTTATTTTACCGAAACTTCTATATGAATATCAAACCTGGGCCTTGAGTTAACACTAATTCCTAAGTATTTGTGAACGATTTTCAGGACGTGGTGGTCAATACGATAACAAAATGGCAACGTATTAAACCACGCAAAAAACATTTTCTTACATTATTTTGAATCATTGATTGTGCATCATGTGCACAGGTTTACAAGATTAGACTGAAGAAGTCTAGTATGATATATTAGGTCGAAGGAGGGGGAAAGGTGAACGTCATCTGCAAACATTAAAAACCAGGAATGTTGAATACACTCACGTTTGGTGTTTAAAATGAAGCTTATTGTGCTTATTTGGCCGCTTTTATATTTCAATTTATTTCATTCTTTAACAAAAGGAAGGAAGGATCTCGCTGGCGATATTTTGTTAGACATGGAAAGACTACATTGCCTTCTTTAAATATTTTTTGAGTTGATGACAACGTTAAACTTGGGTTATTAGCAAACACGAAGCACACGATCGTATAGAGGTTTACGCTTATTAATGGGCTTTTCTTACTACAATAGGAGGAGTTCCGCGAGTTTTGTGGAATTGGGATGAAGTACTAAGTACAAGTAAATTATTTTTCAGTAGGAAAAGTATCACTCTATTTGCTTTTTGTTATTTTTAAATCTGGATGCAGCAGAGGTAAAAGCACACCTTTTTGTTCCTACAGTCCTTTTATCTTCCTATGGTGTAGTTTATGGACTGTAACTGTGTGAAAAAATAGGGTTTCAGGCGGTGTGAGGATATTTTTGCACGCACATAATAATAATATATAATAATAATTAATATATATAATAATACAATGTGCATATTATTAATATTAACAAACCCGATCACTTTAAACAATTCGAACCAAAAGCCTTTTCCAGTGTACCAAGGAAGACTGCTTGATTAAAGGTTAAACGTTCAACCGATGTTGAGTTTATACATGCCAATGTCGGCATTGATTTAATAATCTCGGAAAAAGACGAATTTGGTTCCTTCGAAAAACCCATCGAAATTTTTTGCATTATCGAACATGTGCAAATATGTGCGATGCGTTCGATCGACATATTCGAAATTTAGTAGTTTTACCTTCAGCTTTCCAGAAAAACACAGCTGGATACATAACTTACGTAAATACATTACATAATTTTTCGTATTAACTTCAATTCATATGCATTTCTGTGTATAATGAGCACTGAAAGACCCTTAACTACAATGTTTCCTTCCACTCAATATGTTTAACCCAAAGTACTCTCAATATTTATATACAATTATTTATGAAGATTGAAACATGTATTAAGTTCTATTTCCAACCTATAACTATGAACTATTAAACGATCCAAATGAGCTACAGAAGCGTCGATTTTCGAAAGCTGCTGAAATAAAAATGGTATGTTTCTTTCGGCTCATTTTGAGGAGAAAT